AAAGACAGAAAAGCACCCTGTCTCCCTTTCTTCAGGCAAACTTTCCTCACCAGAGGGTGTGAGGTGGGTTCCTGCCAACCCGGCACCCCCTGACAGAAATAACAAAACCTAGAGTTCTTTTTAGGCCCTACAGACTTTTTCGCCGTGAGGTAAAGAAGTGAGGTAAAGACTCGAGACTAAAAGATCTGATCCTTTTTTGAGATCTTTCAATTCCCAAATATTGCCTTCAAAGAAGTAAGGAGGTATCTTCTACAAGATGGGGAAAAATGTTTGGGTCTGCTTTTAACCAAGGGTAGGGTATTCCAGCCTAATTTGAACTCACTTAGAATAACGTTTAGGGTCTTGGTTTAGCCTCTCTGTTAATACCTGTAGGACCCCACCTTCTAATTAGGTCTTCTGATAACATGTTTCCACTAGAGGCTCCTAAGAAGGGACTGGCCTGGTATTCAATCCACAAATATGCCGAGAGCAATGATTATGTGCAGGCATTTGCTAATAAATGCAGGGCCTAGAAAAAGAGGCATAGCTTTTGTTCCGGAGCTTCTGAGACTAGTGAAGGAGACAGTCAGGTAACCTTAGTTAAATTATATTCATTTACTCATTAAACAAATATTTATCAAGGGCCCATTAGATGCCAGGCATTTTGCCAGGCACTGATGGTGAGTAAGACAGATTGGTTTGTACTGTTATGGAGCTGACAGTCCAGTCATAAAGGGAGACATTAATTAAATAATCACAAGAATGAATGTGTAATTAAAAAATGAAGTAAGAGCTCCGAGGAAATGTTAGATGGTTCTACGAGAACGAGAGGAACCTGACCCAGTTAAAGAAAGTCAGCAAAGGCTTCCTTGAGGAATTGGCAATTGAACTAGGACTTGAACAAAACGTAGGCGTTCATGCAGGCGAGTGGGGTGGAAGGAAAGAGAGGAATCGTGCTCTAGAGAGAGGGGACCGTGTGGGCCAAGATCCCAGGGTGAACAGGGGCACAGGGGTTTCAGGGAAATGGAAGGCCAGTGTGGGGAAAGAGCATGGTGGGTGATGAGGCAGGAGATAAGCCAAAGCTGGTCCTCCGAGCCCTGCAGGCCCTATTAAGGCCTTAGAACTTTTTTAAAAAAGCAAAAGGGAACTTGTAATTACGTTTTGTAATTGAAGTGTAGTTGACATACAATAGTATATTAGTTTTAGGTGTACAACATAGTGACTCGACACTCATATACATTATGAGACAACAGGGATAAGGCCTTAGTCTTTCCCCCAAGCAGTGGGAAACCACTGGATGCTTTCAGTGGGAGACATACATGGCAATCATACAGCCAGGGCTTCCGTAGGGTAAATGTGCTACCAGAGGGGCATATAGGGAATCAACTAAAATCTAAACTGGTGTGTGTGGTGTGGAGGGAGAGGAGGGGGTTAGGGCTGGGGGATGTGTCCACATCGACCTTCTGGAGGAGGACATATCTGAGATGAATCTTTGAAGGGAGAGAATGACCTAGCCCGGCCACAGTGGAAGGTGGAGGGAGGGAGAGAGGATGCTTCTGGGTGAGTGTGAGGGTGTGGGGGGACTATAGGAAGAAGAGGCCAGCAAGAGAAAAGGCAACAGAACTTATAAATTTCCATTATACTTAATGCCTGATTTCATGTAGTTAATGGATTCATTTATTAGAACAATTTGTGAAAATCCCCAAGGGCCCATGAAGGCTGGGCTTAATGGTTTTATCATGTCATAGACTTCTTTACTCCTCTCCTTTAACGAATCCTGAGTAGGCAAGGAACTTAGAACTAACTACTGCTTAAAATATAGGTAAATTGTAAATAGAGCCCCCAAAGAATAAGGGCTTTTTGTGCCTCTGGGGTTTCCTTCAGCAACAAAAAGGGATTCCATCTTTTGTATGTTTCAGCTGATTCATAAATCCCACTGCCACAGTCTATCAGCTTCATGTTGACTCAAGGCTGATTTTCAGGAGTCGACATGTTCTCCTCAGGTTTCCAGCTATGGATGTGAACTGCAGGGCGGTGAGAGCGATCTGAAGTCAGTACAGCCACCCCCCATTACTGTCCCTCTTCCTGTGGGGAGCAGACAGAGAGCACAGTCGTGGCTTTATAACTGTGGGGTGCACTGTGGTCGGGAGGAGAGGGACACCTGAGGACCTGCTGGCCTCTGGCCGAGATCTCCACAGGGATGAAGCCCAGGCTGTCAGGCTTAGACACACATAAGAATGTAAGCATTAGGACAATCCTTGGCCAGACCTGGAGCCTCCAACCTCAGGAGCCTTCTGGTCTATCTGGTCCCCCTTCGTACCAAGGGGATAGAAGCAAGAATGCAAATGGATAGAGCCAAATTCATACCCAGCACTTAGAAAACGACTCAACGGAGACTCCCCGCTGGTGCTAGATCTAGAAGGGAAGCCATCCTTGATGCCCACACAGTCAGGGGCACACAGGGACCTCCACTTGAGGAAACCCAGGGACAATGACAAACAAAATCCTGTCCACCAAAGACTGGCAATACAAATGGCTATTTGTACAGTTAAATGGCAACCACCAGTATATAATTATCGTCTCCTGTACCAAATGAAGTATACAACTTAGCAAGTCCTTGGGGGAAAAAAACCAAAAAATATTTATTATCTCTTGGCTGTACTTTAAGGCACAGGGATCTGATCACTGTTGCATGTTAATGGAGAGGTGATAGGTGAAGATGCCCAAGTTTGGAAGAGCTAAACTGCTTTACATCAGAAGGAGATCCAGAAGCAAATGGAGGGAGGAAATGGAATGAGAGAGAGATTGAGAGGTTGGGTGAAAAAGGGCTGAGCAGAAAGACAGAAAGAGAGACCGTGAAAGGAAAAGGTGGGCCCACAGACGTAGAGGCTTGTGGATGAACAAGAAGGGTTTGGAAGAGAGAGTGTGGATTTGGGAAAGAAATGCAATGTGCTCCACAAGGTGAAGTCTGCGGATATAAATAACATTTTTTATCTGTTACTACATTATCTGAAAAGAGCTGGATAGAGTTTCACCATATGTGAAGGGGATGTTTGGGATGGCCTGACTTTAAATATAGTTTATGTAGCATATCCAAAATGCTCTTTGGGGGTCACTGGAGGGACTGCAAAGCATAGCTGAAACCGGGGACTGTGACTGGCCCGTGTGACTGCGGATTGGAAGACATGAACCACAGACATTAAAATACCTGGAGCAAAAGAAACAAAGAGAGGCTTCCAGCATGAACCCTAATTCCAGGAAAATTACTCAAATTGTTTTGATTTACGATGGAATTGCTTTCCATGTGAGCAGCTCTATGAGGCCACCCTGGAGATGGATGGATGGATGGATGGATGGATGGATGGATGGATGGATGGATGGTTAATGCAGGGCATGCAGGAGGCTAGCAGACCTTCCGTGAAGCACACAGTGCTCCCTAGAGCCTGGCGCTGTGGGGTCTCTTGGGGAATGAGGACATGCCTGGAGTCTCGCTTCAAGGTTGACATGGGGATAAAAGTTGGTGAAAGCCAACATCTGGGTCACAAATGAATAACTTAATGAATAACAAGCTCATGGGGGCAGATGTCTGTGCCAGACAAGAGGTAAAAATCCCACTTTCGGCAATGATACAGTATCAGTGAAGTCCCTTCACCTTTTCATGGTGTTAAGGCCAAGTGACCGCTTTGTTTCAACACACTCCTTTTGAGGCTCGGCACCACCACCTAGAAGCTGTTGACCTTGGACAGGCCATCGAACATCTGTAAGCTTTGGTGTCATTTTAGAAAAAATGGGGATCATATGAGTGTCTGTCTCAAAGAGTAATAAAGAAGGTCACATGAGCTAACTTGTACTCCAGAACGTGTGAATGATGATGATCATTATTATTATAATTGATACTATATTGCTATATTTGATAATAATATAATTGCTATTACTGATGATCACCGTGCCCAGCCAGCACCTGATCACTTTTGTAAGGAAGCTCCCACATAGTTTTCTGGCTCTTCTTTGCCTCTTCCCTGCGTATCCCTGTTGTCACCAGCGCATTGTTCTCCTAAGTGGTGGGGCAAGGAGATGTTTTAAAATTCTAATGTTTATTACTTTTGCTTTTTAAAAATTAGCTTTGTGTCACTGATGCATTTGTACATGATGATATAAATCTCTATAGGGTGGGTGTCTACACTATTGGAGGATTATACCATGGAATATGGGGGCTGCTGTGTCAGAATAAATATGTCTCGTTAGAAAATAATGAGGAAGAAGACGGCCTTTGTACAAGGGACAGACCCACCTTCTCTGTGTGATATGAGGGCGTACGGAAAGCTGGGGAAGGATAACTGGCAGACCCTTCATCATGATCTGTCTCATCAAGGTTCCTTTGGTACAGCGTCTGCCCTATAGCACCCTCCGGAACACGTGCCATGTGCTTGTTCCCCGCTCCACTGCTGTTCCTGCCAGCAAACCCTTGACGCATGAACCCTTGGCGGTCCCTACTGTGGGCGGTCTGCAAGGCCTCCATCCCTTTTCCTATGGGTCCCCAACAGTCAGGCTATCCGCGGGGCCGGCAGTCCCCAGCCAAAACAGTGGGAGGATGGAGAGCAAAACCTCAGTGCCGGCCTCTCGGCTTTTGTGGGTTTCAGCCAGGGCCCAGGTGTTATTTTAGTGCAACTCCAGTGTTTAATTTGAGGATGTGTGTGGATCAGAAGGAGGGACCAAAACATTATTTTTTTTTCCCTTGGCCAAGTGATTAAATTTGAAGTTCTAAAAAATGCACAGCCTGGTCCAAAGCTGTGTCCAACTGGGAAGTAAGAAATGTCCTGAAAATCCCTCCCGGGCCAGAGACCTTTATTCCTTAACCACTGCCCACCGCATAGGCCTGTTTCCTGTGGCCATCACCTGGGCAGTCTGTGGTTACTAACCCACCAGGAGCCCCGTGCCCTGAGGCTCTCCTCCCCTTCTTGAAAGGGTACGCGGCACCTTTGCCGGTGGGACATTCTACAGGGTTGTCTAATTTCTTACAGCCTTGAAAGCGCCGTAACCAGCAGCTGCTGAGCCATGGCTGAAGGGGAAATCACAACCTTCACCGCCCTGATGGAGAAGTTTAATCTGCCTCCGGGGAATTACAAGAAGCCCAAACTCCTCTACTGTAGCAACGGGGGCCACTTCCTGAGGATCCTTCCGGATGGCACAGTGGACGGGACAAGAGACAGGAGCGACCAGCACAGTAAGCACCCATCTCTCTTGCAGCCCCCTGCCTTCCTGGTGTCTTCCTTAGTCAAGGAGGCGAGCAGGGAAGCTATCTGCCTAGGGCTACCCTTTCTCTTCCTGACACACTCAGCGGCAGGGTAACATAAATGTGTACAGGTCTAGGTGTGGGAAATAACACACTGTGAGAGCTACAGCCTACCTAAAGGGGTCCTATAGCAAGATTGTAAAAGGACTATCTGTTGACCTAACATAACTGCTTTGAGATCAGATACAGCTGCCAGTGTTCAGCTGTTGTGGGTTTCTTTAACTAGTGAAGAAGGGCCTGGCCCCCAAGGCTGGTGAGGGCCCTGCCTGCTCTCTGACAGGAGGATCCACGTGAGGCAGGGGGGCAGTCAACCCTACACAAAGACCTGGGCTCAGTTTCATGGTCATGGACACTCCAGCGTATGTTCCCACAGGGCTTGATTTGCGAAATCCTAGCTCATAATCATAGTCTTACACGTCGTAAATTACGCAGCTTTTGCTCTGCGTATCATGCAGATGTGGTTGTGGTAACCGGGAAGGGGTAAAGTCATTCTCCAGATCTTACAGAAACTGGAGAGCGAGAGCAGTGGGAGCCAAATGCTGACTATCTCTTCCGGGCTTTCCTGCCAGCTTAGCTCTCAGAGGGCGTTGATAAATGGACGTATGACTTTAGAGAAAAGAATCGTCGTGACTATCTAAGAATAAAAATCTCTTCCTTCTGCTTTAGTACTTTTCACGGTGGTGTGTCTGTTTGATATTAGGTGTCTGGGTCCTACTGTGATGCTATCAAGGATTCCCTGAGCCAAAAGTCGGAACTAAGTTCCTGCTTAGAGGGTCAGTGATCTGATGGGTAAAGCACACTGTGAATCAAGAGAAGAAAAGTGTAGAGGTAGCAAGTAAGGGTCTACAGAACAGGCTTGAAAATGAATGCAAAATACTGACCTTGATGTGATATACCAAATAGTCTTAATTATTCATGTAATATGCACCCAATTGCAGGCTGTAAGCACAAATGACCACCTCAGTGGTGCTCACTCTACTTTTAAATGCAAAGGTCGTGGGGTCGGAAGCCGCCATTTATGGACCAGAGGCATTGTCTCTTCCTTCCCACTCACCAGGCAGACCCTTGAGATAAAGAGCAGGAAGGCTGATGTTGGGACTTGCAGTTGCAGGGTCAGATTTTTGGGGGGGTTTGTTTTGATGGCTTGTCTTCAAATGGGCCTAGCAAATGCCTTATATTTGATGGAAACTAGGTACCGGAGTGAGGCAAAAAGGACTCTATTTAGTACATTAAACATATATATGTATATAAGTAACATTTACTGCAAACAAATGGACTTAGATTGTAGTCCATTATATGAGGCAAGCTCTACAATTTGCGTGATCTGCCCCATACAACACAAGGGAAAGAAGTTTTAATTCCTCTGGGATTTTAAATGTTTCTCATAAGTCTTACCCATCTTCTGAACCAATGGGAATGCTCTCTGGTGCTCAGACTCTCAGGGGAAAGACAACCATTATGCTGTGTTCCTCAGGGTTAGGCTGGCTTTTCTGGGAAATCTTGAATTCTGGGAAAACAAGACACTACAATTAGGACTTCCAAGTACTGGAATTTCTGTACAAATGGCATGTGATTTCATTGTTGTCATCCCATCATTAACACTATCAATTGCATTCTGGGTATGTAACATTGGGACAACTTCTGAAAGTGCTGTGAATTTGGCCACCTGACCAAAGCCGTCAGGAACCCCTGGAATGCAGCACCAGAAAGCTGTAAGAGTAGGTGTGAGGAGGTCTACATCCAAGTAATGCTGGATCGACTGTTTGCCAAGTGACCTTGGGCTAATTATGTAATCTTTCTGGCCTGACTTTTCTCACTTGTAAAATAAGAATAATACTACTTGCATCGCTGGTTTCTTGGGAGGATTAAATGACATGATCGAGCACAGTGCCTGGCTCAGGGTAACAGCTCAGTACAATACTGCTGTTGTTGTCCCCCATCACATAATCAAGGCTTCGATATATTCAATCCAGCATGTGGAAATACAGTATAATATTTGAGGACCTTCCCTTCATTTTTTTCTATAATATTGTCTCCCAGGAAGGTCAAGGGTCTGGATTCACGTTTTGATTCGGGGCCTCTTTGGCAACATTCAGAGTTGTGTTGGCCTATTTATTTACTCTAGAACTAGGAACATGGGCCAAGGAGGACAGAAATCAGAGTAAGTGGGGGTGAGTGAGCAGAAATCCATCTCTCTACTTGTGAAAGCCAGGAGAACGGGATAATTCACATACTCACTGCAGACTCAAGGGGCCCTAGATTTGGAGTCAGAAAGCTTGAGCTCATATTCCTGCACCATCACTTTCTGACTGGGACAGCACTGAACAATGACCATTCTCCCCATTTTGCATAAAATGCTCTGCAAAATAAATGTCAAGTCCCCCAGCCCAAGGACCCTTCCAATCACCCCTCCTGTCTAAAAATGTAGATGTCTCCAGTGTTCCCAGCTGTCTAATCTTGGGAATAGTATTGAGACTCAGCTTCCCCATCTGGGGAATGGGAATAATAACACGGCCCTGTGTGTCTGAAAAGTCTGAAAAGATCGTGCAGGCAAGAGGACTCCCAGGCATGGCTGTACCCGCTGAATGTGGTTCTGTCGCCCTCTACTGCCCAGTGGAGGTACTGCCAACACACCGTCTTCATTTCAAGGGTCATTCTGCATCAGAATCAATCTGGACAGGGCAGGCTCGGAGACAGTAGATGACCCTGGCTTACCAATTAGTACCCTCTGGCGAGGGGATGGTTTCTATTCCTAGATCATTAGTTTGAGCATGACTAGAGATTGTGGTCACAGGTACAGAGCCATACCCTTAAGACTTCCGTGAGGAAGAATATTTCTAAAACCCAATCAAATATTGAAATGAATCTACATACCAAATAGAACTGCATGCCTTCCAGCTCTACAAGGCAAAAAAAAATAACTCTTTTCACAGCTTCTCTTTGTCGGCAACCAGCGGATCTGCCCTGGGCAAAATTGGGATGTTTTCAAAACTTATCATCTTCCTACTTCCAGGAGAGTAAGTTTCCATGTACCTAACACAAGGCCTTTCTTGGAGTGGTATAAACCTACGACAGATGCTTGTGCGCAGGCCACGGTAATGTAGGCCTGAGTAAAATGTCCCCCTAACTCCTCAAACCACGGCTGTAGGCAGTCATCCATACAGGCTGTGACCATCTGTTACAACGCCATTCTAGGAAAGCCAGGCAACACCAGAGTAAGAGCTGCAGACCTTGAGACGAGGCAATGGGTGTTAAGGTGCAAGAAGATTCATGGTGACTCCTATGGCTTTCCTGTGGGACATGAGTAGATGGCGGCATCACCTTGAGAGGGAGGATCCTGGAAGAGGAACAGGCACAGGGAAAGATGACCAGTTTCATTTCAGACACAGAGTATTTGAGGAGTGCCTCTTGTACCATGCATATCTCCTGGTAGTTATAATTACACTTATTGTGTGAGTATTTAATGGTTTCCCCACACACACACTAGGCTCCCTGAGGTTGGGGACTTTGTCTCTTATAGTTCAACAATGCAATTCTGTGTCTAGTACATTGACTGGCACTTGGCATAATGCCCAATAAATGTGAATTTGATGAGTGAATGAATTGTATTCGTGGCAGATAAATTCAAATTCAACAATAAATTCAGTAAATTTATTGAGCACCTGATTTATGCCAGGCATTGTGTTAGATTCTTTCATTTCCACTTAACCATAATCTCACAAGGTTATGAATTATCATCACTCTGCAGACACTGAGCTAACCGGGCCTGTGGCCGGTTAATAAGTGGGAAAGTTTAAAAGAGGTCCATAGCTTCTTCTTCTAATACTAAGGCTCTTTCCATATACCACTACGGCCCCTGACATCAATACCATGATGGTGGTCTTACCCCATGAACTGATTAAATAAACATAGTGGAGGGGCGCCTGGGTGGCTCAGTCAGTTAAGCATCCGACTCTTGGTTTTGGCTCAGGTTGTGATCACAGGGTTGTGAGATTGAGCCCCGTGTCAGGCTCCGTGCTCAGCATGGAGTCTGCTTGAGATTCTCTCTCCCTCTCCCTCTGCAACCTCCTGCTCGTGCTCTCTCTCTCTCTCTCTCTCTCTCTCGATCTCTTTCTAAAATAAATCTTTAAAAAAAAAAAAAGAAAAACGAACCATACTAGATTCACACAGCCTGTAACGTGGATCAGAGGGGTGTAGGTGCAGCTCCCTGTTCACTAGCTCCTTGTCCCCCTGGGGAAGTTACTTCCCCACAGGCCTCTGTTTCTTCATTTTAAAAACAGTTCCCATGTCCTAGGAAAGGAGGAACCTTAAAAGTGGTATAGCACATAGAGGTGCTCCAAAAATGTTATTCATCATCACTCCTAGGCTTACTTGACCTTCTTCCTGTAACCATCTGATCTCTGTAGGCTGTTAAGTTAAATGAATGTTAGCCTTGCTCACGGGATTTAGTCTTACTCTTTATCTCGGTATCGCCAGGACCGTCTAGGTTTGGCGCTCTCAAGGCCTGGAATGTAGGAAAAATGTGCCCAGGCCCAGCAAGCCCTGCCCTGTCTAACTTCTCTGGCAGAGAGAGCAAGCTGTGGTGGGCAGAGCAAGGAGGGGCTCCGTGTTCCATTCTGTTCTTCCTGCTGCACTTTCTTCTCGGGCAAAAGGGGACATGATTTATTCCTCAATGGGTTGAATACCTGAATGGTAACTGGAGAAGAACAAGTTCACGAGCATCCCAGATCTGCAGCCTCCTCCGTGACCCACACCCCCTTGCCTCCCCAAGCACACAAGAGGCTGTGCGGGGAGCAGGATTACTGGCACTGCTCACCGCACAAATGGAAATGTTCCTGAGCAAAGTGTGTGCCAATCAAATATTTATGAATCAAACCACATCCTAAAGGCACTAAGGGAGTTCACTGGTCAGAGGAATGTACTTTGCAGCCCTTTATAAAGGGCAGACTCCTCTTCAGTGAAATCCCTCCCACCTCCTTGTTTGGGGGCCATGCAGACTTCAGTTTCTGGTATGACTCGGCACCCCGTGTTAAAGGCACCTGGCTCCCCACCAGCTTGGGCTGCAAGTCAAGACAGTTTTTCAGATCACCAAGGTGGGCAGAACTGGGCCCTGCTTGCAGATGCCACAGAGCAGGGCCGGTCTTCAGGCAGAAATGCTCCCTCAGCCCCTGCAGGGTGTTCCCACCTTGGTGGCATGTGATGCCAGAGGTCGCCCTGCCCCTCCTCCCACTCACCCCTTATCTGGTTATACAGAAGAGATTTTTCTAGATAGACTCCTTTTTTTTTTAATATCC